TAAGTCAAAACTGATCGTCCACTTCGAAGCGTGTTAGACAGACAGAAAACTCTCTGAATCAACGTTTGAACTGACATTTGTTGACCTTCAACATCTATCTCCATGTCACAAATTTCCCTCTTGCCGTTTCTATTGCACTAAATCCCGCATGAAAATGAAAAGGCACGCAATTACGAGTATGACTCTCAGGAGGTATAAAGTCCGCCATTTTATTGCCAGAGCAATAATATAAAAAAATTTCAAATTGTTCGCGATAACTACTTAACAGAGTGCTTCTATGGAAAGTAGATCTGGAAGTGGAGAAAAGTTTGAGAAGCACTGGTGTGCAGATGTCGATGTTGAAAGATTCCTAGGAATCAAGGAACGTCGCGAAATTTACGCACAGACTCTCAGAAAATTATAAATTCAGAGTAACGAAGCCGAGAGAAACTTGCGCGTACGCTCGAGAATATTTCATTTGTGTAGAGCGCAATTACTGCTCTGTTTGCGGAAGTGCGCGCGCGAAGAATCCGTACAAACGAGCAGCAATTTCGAATGACGATCGGTATCAATAACGTCCGAAACTGGGCTCGCTTCCATTGCTGCTCGTTCGAAAAAAAAAAAAAAAAAAAAAAAAAAGAAAAAAAAGAAACGCATAATAGCGAGCCACTCGAGTTACACGCGGTTCCATAGAACCACACCGACCGGCGTATTAACCGATGTTATTGAATCGCGCGCCGGTGTATTGAATAAGTGCGGCGAAGCCTATCGTGTCGTGATACCCGTGCTTCCGGTCCCCGGCGTCCCCGAAACCTCCGGATCTATCTGATCGGACGTCATTCTCGCAACAAGTACGCACGCCTGTTACGAGCTCGTAATACATATTTTAATAATGACCAGTGGCATTGTCATGTTAATGAGACCCGATACGTATCGATCCAGCACGTACATACATACGGATAACCTTTCGCGTGCCATGGAAATATCGATTCAATGTGTAAAACATTTTCAGAGATGTGTACAATTCTACTGTTACACGAAAAACTTGTCGAAAGATTGCCAAAGATTCTGGGAGTATAAATTGCAAAGGGAAACGTATATAAAAGAAACTTAAGTCAAATTTCCATCAGAGATGTCGTAAAACAAAAGAAATAGAAAATCTTTATGATACAACATCAGGCTACGCAAGCTTTTATTCGTGTATTTTACGAAACAATCATTCAAGTTTTTCCAAAAAATACATACTGTTTTATATCTACGAAATTTTGACCATTTTGATAGTGTTAATCGACATAAAAAGTCAGCACCAACTGGCTTCGGTCGAGTTAAAAATGGCATTTTTGCGTCGATAGACTGCCTGAGAATGGAAGAACGAACGTTTCGCGAGTACATACTTCGGACAAAGCGACGAGGGGAAAAAAGGAAACGCAAGGGATTCGGCGGTTTGATGGTTGTTTTGACAGGAATACGGAGTTTTTTCGCGAGTTCGATCCGCTCGTTACGGCGACCGAGTAGCCGAGATCATCCGTGACCAACACCTGGAGGAATGGCTCCTCTTCAAGGACACTGAACAACGGATATCTGCTTGGTCATCACCGAGTCGTCAGCGATCCTTTGATTCACCTCGGTGCCCCTTTTTTCCCCCTACTTCAACACCAACGGTGTTCGTTCATTGATCCAAAAGCTATTATGCAGATACATTATGACGATGCTTCTCGACCCTAATCAGAGTTCGATAATTCGTCGATCGACGAAGGAGAGGGAACCGACGTGTGTATAATACGACTCGGGGATTGAAAACAGTTTTGCAGAGAGAATCATTATTTTGAACGACTGTTGCAAGAAATCACGAAAGAAGAAAGGAAATCTCCATTACTCCTTCCATGGACTTGTCAAATTGAACTCGTCGGTTGAAAAATTTCAATCAACAATTCAAACTACGTACGAATAAATTTGTAGTTTTGCGATTTCGACGAGAACAATTATCATCTGTGTTGTTTTTGCCGATTTCGCTCGTCGCGCTGTCGTCGTCAACAATTAATCGAATTGGAAAGAGAAGTCGGCCAAGCTCGTTTCCTCTCGTCGGAAGCTAAATGTGGAAGACCGATAAGAAGCAATCGCCGTTTGATTGCCAGAGAAACTTTACAAATGATTTCCTCGCTGTTCGCCGGAATGCGTTTGCATATTCGGAAAGCATTCTGAAACGGTTCGAGGAACCGTTCCATTCCATGCACAAGAAAATGAATAAATATTCATCTAGAGATTTTTCCATCTATTTATGTCTACGCGAAGAAGTGGAAGAAGGGAGGTACGTGCAGCAAAAAGCACGATTTGCCACGCGAGCAAGGACACGACAGATCACGTTTCCACTAATAACTCGAACGCGAGGCTGATCAGGTCGGCCTTCCTCTTGTCTGGCACGACGGATTGAAGAACACACGCGTGTTTTCAGCCCTACTGCTATCGATACATCTGCCATTTGTCACGTCAAATTACATTTGTCGAGCGGCCGATTTATGAGATACACGACGGACACGTCGGCCAAACGGATGGCCACGATTTAACGCCGATCCTATCGTTAAACGCGAAGAGTTCCGTGGTACCTGCCGCCTCTCTCGTGCTATGACAGTTGTACCAATTGTTCCTCCGGCTACTTCCCGGATTTACGTCTCTTCACGTCTCCTCCCTTACGATCTATTTCTGAATTTGATGAAACTTACTTCACGATCAATTCAAAAGCAGAAGAATCGACAAAGTTGTTCTCTCGTTTTTTTACGACTAGAGAACAAGTTCCATATTTTTCGTAACTCGATTCGAATGAGAACCACTAGGCCGGCAACTGGTCCGCAAGTATATATTTCGACTGAATGAAATTCTATTTCGATGACGAACAGATCCCGAACAGAGCACCGCGTAGCTTATAGATGCTGAAATTCTAGGGATATAGAATGTTAAATGCACCGTGACTTATCGAATGGGAAAATGAGATTTGGCCATCGGATAGTGTGGGCACGGCCTCGTTTTCTGGGAATTGGAAATTCCTGTCTGTCACAGTTCTGGATACGCGTTTACTTTTCATTTCAGATGTAAGGAATAATATTCCAGAATTCCAGAAGATAGAACTAAACAAACTTACAATGGAACGAATATTTAAAAAATTTTATTTGAAAATGACGGATGATTGTCCCTCTCGTCATAATTTAATCACAAATAGCTCCAAGGCCAAGAAATTTCTTTGCAAACGAAACTTCTGTTTTGTTTTTCTTTCCTACATTTGGACAATGGATCGTGCGAAGTAGAATGTTGCACGTTCTCATCGGTTGAGAGAAATAGTTGGAAAAGGAAGGGGAAAATAAAAGAAACGATCGCTGGAGGGGAAAAAGAACTCAAAGCCAACCGACAACATAATCGATACGTCTCGAAGTTTTTTATGAGGTACCAAGTTATTGAATGGTTTGAAATATAACCGAGTCATCATGCAACCGGAATCAAGTTCGCCTTCTTGGCTACCTAAATCCGTGATAATATCTTCCAACGCAACTATAATTTCGCCTAACACAATTAATAATTGCCATTGAATCGAAATCATAAAATTACTGAATGTGCAGTAACATCGATCCATATAGATCGACACTTCAGAACTAATTTTAAATCCGTATCACATGTTGCATGTACAATAAAATGATTACGCGTTGATTTAGAAATTTCACGAAATTATTTACACGAGCAGCGAGAAGCTTCTTGGATCTCGAACTGAATAAAAATAATGATAGAATTTCCAAAATTAATTCCCAGCTTCCTTCCAGGTTGCCGAATAAAGGACAAAAGCAAGGCCCATCAATAATAGCCAACCAGTTAATTTGCATCGTTGGATGGTTGCTCGTGTACGCGATGGAACAAAGCTATAATTATTAGTGCGCGTCGTCTGTGCACTTACCGTGGTCATTTATTAAAAGGGGCACGGCCGGCGTCTCGCTGCTGCGACGCTCCTCGAGGACCGCGACGCCTATGACACACACCTCTCGGTGTGGACTTCCACCGAGATTATGAACTGCCGGCGAAGATGAAATTCCTTTGTTCTAATCCGCATTCGCGCTCCCGGTTAATTTGTCTGGCGCAGGTACGTTATATATAGACTGAACCGTGACCGAACCGCAACTTCGTCTACGTTTCACTAGCGTATTACAGTTAACAGACCGGTTCATTGAAAAATCAATCGATTGGCTATCATCGAGAACGCTTTGACCTTTTTTTTTTCTTTTTTTTTTTTTTTTTTTTTTTCGAAGACGATTCCGTTGCTTGTAAGAATAAAGTATCTTTGCATCACTGTTTATTTTGTGGAACTGGAGTCAAGTCGCTTTTTTTCTATGAGGAATATTTAAAATGTAAAATATCTACAAGATAATGTTAAAACATCTACAGGAAATTTCTATAAATTTCTATGAGAAATTATATTTATAAAATTAAACGTACGATACTGAAGGATTTTTCATTTCAAACTAGATTGATAAAACTTAACCTGAGAAACAATGTTTCGTTTATGCGTGACTAAGGTTAAAAGTGACAACAACGAAAACGATTCAAATAATAATAATTCGCGCCTGTTCCATATTTTTCTATTCTGCGCATCTCAATGCGCAGTCGTTTCAACGTACATTTATACGTATATTATAAAACTGTAGCAAAGTAAATGATTGCATAGGTTGCAGTTGCAAGTATGTATACATTAAATAAGTACATGAAATACCAGGCAAAGATTCTTTCAGATATGAAAACGAAAAGAACAGAAATGCAACAATACTCTATTCTCGTCTGATTAGTAATTCTAATTTATGAAATTTCAAACGTTAACCCCGTCGCTCGTCCCTTTCAAATGCTCACGCTATCTACAGCTCTCTTATTCGCACTGAATTGAATTATAATATACAATTCATATCACAAACGGAAATACAAACACTTATTTCGTCGTTTTTCACACCTGAGCTGTCAAATTTGAATTATTCCGTGCGAAATATTTAAAAATGAAACGGAGACTCGCGCACGAAAATTTGTCACGGGACAACTGTTGCCAACTGCCATCTATCGGTGAGGCGAGGGACTACTTGCGCGTTTTTATGTATTTCTCTTCAAAAAGGCGGGTTTCGTGCGATTTAGTGTTGATCACATGTCGCTTAGTATGTAGTTTATTTTTAAATTTTTCGAGCAATTTGTCATGGATATGTAGGTAGGTACATATCAAAATATACAAATAGTGTGTATTTAGGTTACCTCAAACCACGTATAATAAATTAAATTGCTCTCTGGAGAAAAGACACGTGACACAGAATTACATTCTTTTATACTAAATACATATATGCATAGTTCAGGCATTCTAGCCTCTGTTCCATTGTCAATCAACACCGTACAACTTACACGTACGTATATTGTTTTCTGAACAAAGACGTGTTAAAAATGAAAACAAGTATTTGCTACTGTGTCTTTTTAGAAGAATCTTTCTTATATGCAGTTTATACTGAGTGCTTCATCTGTTCGATAATTGATGCGTACGTCGTGAAAGTAGTGCGAGATGTTAGGTTAAGTAGAGGTTCGTTGTGACATGCTACTTTGTCATTTCTGGAATCATGCACTATTACAAGATAGATTGAAATGCACTATACAGATTGAAATGATCATGCAATAGACATGCACTATTACAAATTGAAATGATCAAAATTGTATAGCATATTTAATATATATAATAACAATATACATTCAGTACAATATAAGTATAATTCAGTATAAAGTATAAAGTATAATTAGTATTATAAGTAATAATATTATAATATTATAAGTAATAATATTATAAATTAGTTATAATTACTAATTATAAGTAATTAGTATAATAAGTAAATAGTATAATAAGTATAATTAATATAATAAGTATAATAAGTATAAAGTATAATTATAAGTATAATTCAGTATAATAATAATATACATTCAGTATATTTATAGTACAACATGTAGCTTGTGAAATAATATTTTTTCGCAACAGTATTACAATACAAATGGTATGTATATTCAGCGAAATAACTCAGTGCTAGTATACACAATAAACGCTTAAGAAAGCGGCAGCACATTTTCATGAATGCTTCTACTGTTGTGTAGAGACGAGGTGCATCAAGGCAAAGTTCAAAGGGAGATTCCTCGACGACAGGAGTAACGAGTGTCCAGCAATCTTCTAAAGAGAAGTCTTCCTGGAGTCCTTTTCCGTACTGTCCTGGAACCAAGTCCCAGGAGGAGTCAGAACACCGTAGATAGACCAGATTTATGTGCAAAACTCGAACCGTTCCCCCTTCGTGCGAGCTGACAGGGATGCAAGAAACGATCCCCAAGGATTCCTGGATAAACTTGCTTCTAACGATCGGTGGATCTACATGGACGACGGACTGAAGATTTGCTGTTTGAAATTTTCGTCACTATCAGAGAGATTGCGAGAGAGGCGACGAGTCAAAATAAATCTCAAATAAAATGTGTACACATACATTTGTACACATAGTTTTCTGCACGTGCATGGTGTGCATCTCCTTGCGTTTTGAAATTTCGCAGAAACGCGTAATAATTTCCAGGCGCTGGTAATAAAATGTGACCATAAATGCCTCTGCGTGGGGGCAGAAGTTTTTCTCATGCGTCGCTTGAGAACGAGGATTTCGTCATCTTCGTTTCTCGTCTTTCTGGCAAAGTTACGGCCACCTTGTTTTCAAACATTAAATATTCCGCGCAACAGTGTTACATTCAGTAATATTCAACTCGTATAGCTACTCTGGATGCGCCTTCAGTTTTGTCACAAACTTTTCTGCCTCCATTTACATGACTTTCTCTCTTTACGTATCACAGATGATATCGTTGTTGCTTTTCTTTCTTATGCTTTCCAGATACATGACTGGAACTTACAAAAGGAATATTTCGACCACCGGTGTCCGGCTTAAATATTAAAATTTAAGAGTGGGAACTCTGTAACTACGTTTTCGTCCATCCAGCGCTATTTAATATTCCGCTCGCCGGCTACCATCCGATTTTAAGGAGTTCTCGTTATAAATTCTTACCTCAGCCCGTTTAAAATAAATTGACTCCAAGAGGTTGTTTCAGTGAAAATCACACCATAAAAGATAAGGAGGGAGGGGGGAAGGAGTGCGCCGAGGCAAACAAGTTTTCATCAAATGACGGCATAAATGCGACTTTCTTTGACTCTTTGCTCGCCTAATAACGTTTCCATTTTTGCTCCTACGCGTTGTTTATTCACGCGTGTATAGTACAGAGACGCATGAAAATCCAACACGAGGCTTAACGATCGATGGTTAGTTGCCTCGTCTAGTCGCCTAATTGTAATTTCCAAGGGGCGCGCGATGCATTAGAACATGATCACGTATGTATGTGACACGTCAGCCGGTTGCGACGATGTTCCGTGTCCTGCGTGGGAACCGTCCAGGTCACGCGTCTAAGATCCGCGCGCGGAATCGCCAAGTGGCCCGAGCAGCAGACGTCGCGTAGTCGCCCGTTGGAAAACGACCAGCCGGGGCCCTCTCCGCTTTCGATATCTATGCTTTCCAGTGCACTCGAATTGTCACGTTCACGCTTCAAACAAACCAAGCTATTTATTTCCATAGCCTGGCCGTGTTCGCGGCGATTCATCGAGTTAACGTGACAACCCAACACGGAACCGCGTTCCTATTCTCCCATCTGTAATATAAAACGAGGCTGCTGCGTATGAAAA